GAAGTTGGAGTTGTCATGAAAAAGTCGTGCGGCGGATAAGAGCCCAACAAGACGGTTGCCGTTCTCATTCTGGAGTCCTGTTCAAATCTCCCCATCCTATGTTCCTCTTCTTCTGACATCCCGATTTTCGCGTTGAAGTCACCCACGACAAATTTTTGGAAGGACTTCACTTTGCGGATGACTTCTTCCAAATCCTCATAAAAACTATCTAGTTGTGTGTCATCAGTTGCTATTGCTGGGGATTGACAGTTGATGATAATGATGATTTTTTGATGCAGAGGACGGAGTGGAAGGATAGCTAGGGGAGGTGTTAAGATCTCATGTAATTTAACAAGATGGACAACAGATGGGTGTACGACAAAACCAACGCCTCCAACTTTCCGTGATGGAACTTTCTAGGCACGAATGATGTGCCATTACTCAGCTGCCCCACGTTTGTCTTCCTGAACTTTGTTTCCTGTAAGACGATTACGTGGTAGTTAATGCGCCCTGCAGTTTCAAAAGCGTTAAGATTGGCGTTGGGGATACTGTCCCGACGTTGCGGGTGCAGAGTTTAAGACAATCTCCATGGCGAGTCGTTGACGTGTTTTTCCGCTGCTATAGACTGGGCGCACCTTTAATATTAGGTTATATGGTTTATTTTGCATGGTACCCTTTTAATGCGATGCAAAGAAATACTTGGAAGGATTGAATGGAGTGCACTGGTTGCTACCAGGCCTCCGCTAAGAAGGACCTTCCCATAATTGTAATATCTGGGATGAACGATAGAGGAAACGAGTTGAGCTACGCTTTGAAACATCGTTTAAAAACAGCAAAAATCTGTCGTTACCTCAAACACTGAATCCGGTCCCGAAGAGTAGCTGACCCTAGCCTTTTCTTAAGCGCAAAAACAATACCAAAACTCTCACCTTATTGTAAATACAATATAAATAATAAATTTTGTAAAAAAAAGTTGCTTCACATAAAAGTCCGTCGTAATGTGCATCGTCGTAACTTCTTTTCTCCTTTATTTTTTGAAAGGAAATGCAATGTTAGACTCAGCTCGTCGTGACAAATCATCAGGTAGTCAAGCTACAGCAACTCTACGGTATATGGTAGGCATAATTAGGAGATCAGCATCGCGAATCCGTCCAAATTGCGATACGTTGAACAGGAAAAGCCATCTATCTGTCACAAATATCCTGTAAAGAAGTTTCCACGTTCCAGATCACATGCCAAGTTGTATTTTTCCCACTGTTTTACTCGTATTATTGCAAAGCAGAAGTTAAGTTTTACCTTATGTACGTGTAATACTTTACCTGAATTTCGAAACGTGCATTCGTTACTTCTGGAACGATTTTTTTTGCTTTGCACCATCGATAAAGTACATCACAGCACCACATTTGTAGCGAATTAAATTCAACGACCCAAAAAATTCAGGCTCCGAAGATGGCTGATTTTGAATTATTATTTTTCGTTTAAATATGAGTAAGTAATTAAGGTTAGTTGTGTTCAAGCGGGCACCTGGCCTACATGGTGCACTAAGGACCGCATATCCCTCGTTTTTCTCCAATTTTTGCAGCTCTTATTGTCAAACACCCTTGGAGTTACCGTAAAACGTTTAGAAAAATATTCTTTTGAATTGTCTTCTCGCGTGACTTCGGTAATTTGGAAACGCTGGACGTTGCAAGTGGTCACCAAATTTCGGTAGAAGCTCTCCTACAATTAGCATGCTTAGATATTTTCACTGATTGCTTTCATCTAAAAAGTCCTGAGGAAACCAAAAAGGATCAAGTTCTATCGATAGGATTTTTTGATTAACCCAATATTGTTTCCTAGCTCCACACATCCAAGCTAAGGAATAGAGTTGGCTTGTATGGTGGCATTAAAGTAGAGCAGACAGGTGTTTAGTTATTTAATCTTCCAAATCCACAGAATCCAGTTCGATTATTCCAACGCAGCATATAACCTTGATCATTTTTATAGAAATTACCAATTCCTTGATAATGACGCGTTCCTGACTGGCGCAATTAGCCCATACTCAGCAAGTAATCCGAAAGTTGAAGAGTTCCACCTATCCTCGAACTTGCGGTGGAAGGACGGCTATTAGGTTGCTGTTGGCTATGTGCACACTAGATCATTAACACAGATGCCCTTCAAAATTGCGTGGAAGAACGAGATAATGCTGGTCACTCTTAATGAAAATTAAGCAAAATGGAAATTTTATATTGACGATCTTCCATCATTATATTGTTCCCTAGAAAATTTTTGGTGTAAAATTTCTTCGAGGAGTTAATCAAATTCACATGCTATTTCATAGCGGATGTCCCGAAGTTTTTATTTTCTAAAAGAATAAGATATCTATTTTATTTACTAGGACAGGACAAAAGAAACTCTTGGGTACGAATGGTTAGAAAAATTTAGCATGGAATAGACATGATCAAAAAGAATAAATTCTATTCTTAAA